TAGGTTTTGGCAATTATATAACATATTATATAGACACGCAGATAACAAACAGTCTGTGGCGTGACACTCGTCTGGTTCGTTTTACAAGATTTCATTGACAATATCTTTAATGCAAAATTCCTGCTATGAACATATTATGATTTAACTATTATTATTATATTATTATTATTATGATATAATGATTTATGCTAAGAAACATAGCGGGTATAGCGCCATCTACCGTCACAAATTGTGATTCATTTTGGTTTATAAATTGTCTATAATTTATATATAATATTATTTATTATTTTCACATAAAAAATTACACATAATTATCAAGAGTACATAATGGGAGTTCTCCCATATATACTCTTCGTTTCTATAATGTATGTCGATGGTTGCTCAATTAAAACTGACTTCTTCTCACTCACTCATTTGTGTCCTTTTTCGTGGTGAGCTACAGTGTCATTGACACTTTCATATATATATTATCAGTAGTCTATTAATATATATATATTGATAGACTCCTGATATTATAGTATGTATTATAGTATGTAGTACGTGCGCAGCTGCTGCTATTTGCATGTGCTCGTGACACTTGCGAATTCGTCACTGAGGGTGCCTGAGAGTCGGACATTTGTAAAGCAGAATAGCTTTCATAAGAGCATGCGTGACCTTCGGTTTAGCTCTTGGTTGATCTTAAATGCGTCTGGCGAGGATTGTTCGCACTATATGCTGCTCCGGTAGCAAAAACTCTTAAATAGCACTACCAAAAATAGCAGATTAATGTAAATAAACAGGGCGAGCCGAATCCTGGCAGAGATTCATGCAGTGATTCCCTCTGTTTGCGGCGATTCTGCGAAACTTGTGTGTCATTGTCAAACATGCTATCTGCAGCCATGACTTACATGTAGCCGCCTGCCAGCCGCATACAAGTGTGACAGTATAAATCATGCCGTCATTAACAGCTGTATTATGAGCAACTTTTGCTAGGTGGGGGGTGTAAAATTTCATCAGGTGCAGATTTAGGCCGGTTTGCACCGGTTTCCAGAAACCGGTCACAGGCTGGGTATCTTCAGAATTGACCCTCAAAATTCACCACAATGCACCAAATATAGCCTAATTTTTTTTAAATTCCCGGGGGGCATGCCCCCGCACCCTCCCTAGCTGTGACTAGAACTATGGAAACTGGTCACCCAAACCCTCTGGATCCGCCCCTGTTTATGGTACAGCCAGAGTAATGACGAAGGAAGGCACAGCTTCTAGCAAACATACATAGGGAGGTCGGGATGGGTTTGCATGAGACGATGGTTTCCCCAATTAGTACAAGACGATTTATACTTATTTTATTTTATGGTTATTTACATTTATTAGGCTGTTATTTATTTTTTCCCCAAAGCATGGGCCATAGCCAACTCCCCCCCCCCAGCAGCTCCAACCTTGTAGGTAATCTTTTTTTAAAGTTACTATATGAAAATCGCCTAGAAATGTAAGATTTTCGTCCAGCATTTTTTCATTTTCCTTATAGTTGCCTATAAACGAGCCTAGTAACGTGAACCAATATGGAAATATACAATTATTGCTTGTACCGGTTAGTATAGTCGGCAACATCAAATGAATAACTAAAGCCTAGCACAGACCTGCGACTTTTTCATGCAACTCGATGGCGATACTAGAATCGCTGTAAAAATTGCTGTGAAATCGCTACGTCTGCGGGAACGTGCAACTGCAACTCGTAGTAATTCTGGTCACTTGCGACGAGTTGCAAGAAATCAAACTGTTTTGATTTTGAGCGACTCGTCGCTCCCAATTGCTACCAAATTGCTCTAGAATTGCCTCGAAATCGAATGTGTCAGTGTGTGCGCACACGCGGCGACACATCGACCGATCGCTTGCAGTTGCAGGTTGCAGCGACGAGCAACCAAAAATCGCAGGTCTGCGCTAGGCTAACGCTTCTAGATTCCATGTGTGACAGACAGCTCTAGTCAATTATTGTTGTGATAGGACGTTCTCAAATACGTGCTCCTAGACGTTCTAATGTTTGGCGACAAAGTGCCGCAAACAAAGTTAACAAATTGGTCACGAAAAACACGTACGAAATCGAGCCCTGATTGACTGACCTAGCAAAGAAATGCGAGGCCACGGGGAGAGCTTGTGTTATGTCTGGATGGATAGCCTGGTGTGAGATTCACGCCGTATGAAATTAAAGGGACTACGTCACGAATTTTCTATGGTAAAATTTGTAAAAAAAATATTGCCATTTTTTTTACATTAAAAGTAAGAACTAACGGGACTAAACAAATCGTCAAATTCTTACCTGATAAGATTGTTTCTGAACTAGTTAAAAATCCAAAAAACCTGGATGATTTGAATTAATGTTCTCAACATTAATTGCTTGCTATGGGCTATGTATGGGTCACGAGTGTATGTTCACATCGAACAATATAGTAAAATAGGAAGTATAATGCAGCAATTTAACCATAAAATGTGAACGGAATTACTTATATTTTGTGAAAAAGTGGAATTTTTATTTTTATTTTATTATTTACGGTGACGTAATCACTTTAAACGATTGCAGGCGGCTGCTGCTGACTCTGGTCGACCACAATGTGCTGCCGGCCACGGACAAGGCGCTGGACCGCAGTGTGGTGGAGATTGTTGACCACCATCATAACGAGCGGCCGGAGGATGAAGATGGCAGGTGTGTTAGACTAGTGATGCTAGTGTGTTAGACTAGTGAGGTAGGTGTGTTAGACTAGTGAGGTAGGTGTGTTAGACTAGTGAGGCAGGTGTGTTAGACTAGTGAGGTAGGTGTGTTAGACTAGTGATGCTAGTGTGTTAGACTAGTGATGCTAGTGTGTTAGACTAGTGAGGTAGGTGTGTTATACTAGTGAGGTAGGTGTGTTAGAATAGTGAGGTAGGTGTGTTATACTAGTGAATTTACGCTATATTAGGCCTATACTATATTACTATATTACAGCTTTTTACAGAGATCGATACCCGACTGTAACCTTCAGTTCCTCTCAGAGAGCATACGTGGATTATATGCTATCGACATTGATGATTAGAGGGCATCATTGATTTTCTACAGGTGCGATCAATTGATTGAACTTGTAGGCTCATGCTGTACCCTGGTTGCCGATAAGATACTGCACAAAGCTCCGGAACTGCTTGACGAACAGTTGGCCATGTTGCTTTTTGGTAGGTAATGTGTATACCTACATCTTGCCTGTATCTGTAGCTGTATGTTACAGAGTGTTATTTTCTGTGGAGTGTCTAAATCAGTGGTTCTTAACCTTTTTTGAGTCATGGACCCCTTTGAGAATCCGGTGAAAGCTACGGACCCCTCCCCAGAAAAATGCACATAAGCACATAAACACAATAATTTTTATGCACCTGGTTCACAGACCCCCTGAAGCCCATCCACGGACCCCCTGATGCCTATCCACGGACCCCAAAGGGGTCCATGAACCACAGGTTAAGAACCCCTGGTCTAAATTGTCGGGAACTATAAAAATAATAATTAAATGTGCCTCAGTTATTAAATCGTTGCAAGTTATTTCAAAATAATTACACATTTTTCAACGTTTCACTGACCCCTACGGGAGTCGGATCAATAAAGAAGAAGAGAATTACACATTTGTATTGTTCTGTCATCTTGTCCTGTTGAACGATGTGTTCTTCTGACACGTTGTTCACATTGAACAACATGTTTCGCGCCGCGTTGTTCCAGGAACGATCGTACTCGACACAGTGAACTTCTCGGAGAGTGCGCGGAAGGTGACGGTGAAGGATCGTGACGTTGCGGCGCGGCTGCAGGCGCGTCTGCCCGGCGCTGATACCGACGTGCTGTTCCAGCAGCTGCAGGCAGCCAAGTGCGACACATCAGGTAGCGTGTGTGTGTTGTGTGTGTTTGTATGTGTGTGTGTGCATGCGTGCGTGCGTGCGTGCGTGTGTGTGTGTATGGGTGCGTGCGTGCGTGCGTGCGTGCGCGCGCATGCCTGTGTGCATGTGTCTGTGTGTCTTGCGCTCTCGGTCATACTAGTGCCCAGAGCAACAGTTGTCACGTGATAAAGAAACAAGAGGGGAGAGAACTCCTCTTACAAAGGCATGCACATCACTATCTTGATGCTGTGTGTAACAAATAGAGGTAAACTAACGCTGCCGTCAGAGCATCTTTTTCACATTCTCTGATGGATTGTTCGTTGGCGGATATGAGCTTTGGCGAACATTTCTGATAATTATAGAAATCCTGTTGATATCACTGTTTTTGTTGCACAGTATTTAGTTGAGTAGTATATGGCTCATGTCTGTATCTGTTTTTTGTGATCTTCTATGTTCCCACAACTGCAATCCCTCATTCATAGTTAGCTCATCTGACATAGTCAGATGCAGCTTAAATCGCTGAATCGTCCATTCCGTACCGGTCGTCCGTTCGTCGTTCCTCCGGCGTCGCCGTTCTCACCAGTGGCACAAATACTTAACCGCTTCGACGTATCCGGTCCACATATTCGTTCGTGGGGATCGTCAAACGATTGGATGTCGAGCTGGGTCAAAGTCAAAGGTCAATAGGTGTAAAAAAGGAACAATTCACTCCTTAACTTAAGGATAGGAAGAAATGAGATGCGGCACAATCTAGAATGCTCGACATAGCCGTGATATCGTGTATAGCACATGTAGGAAAGCCATCACTGGCCGGAAATTGAGTCAACAGGATTCAAAGGGCAAGGACAACAGCATATTTTAACATTCTGAGGACATGTCTACGGAGCGGATTGGAAAATTTTTGGTTCATCGGTGACCTACTCTTTATTGCTTATTGGAAGACCATAAATCATAGCTTTCCACTGACTGCAAAGTAATCGGATCACCCTTTGACCCTCAAAGGAAACAATGGATTGTTGGACTGTCGTAAAAGAAGACTGCCGTTTGCTAGTAAATCTATACATGCCTGATAAAGGCTACCAATCACATGAAATTCAAAGCAAATTTGGGGGGGGTTT